CAAATAATCTATAAATAAATAAACAAATTTACGAAATTATATCTGTGGTATGCTATAAATGTAATAGGGGAACGACATTTTAGTTGTCATGACAAATAATTTGTGGTGTGGATATAATACCTTTGCTTATTCCGATATATTTAGAATGATTGTTACCGGTTACATCATTCTGAGTATTTGAAGTAGAAGGAATACATATTTGTGTCTTCTTTTTTGTTGAAATCGGTCTGCCTCTTTTTTTCTTTTCTTTATAGTTAATGCTGGGAGCAACTGAAAAATGTGTAACTGTATGTATGAATAAAATATATAATAAGACAACTGAATGATGAAGTTGATCATTATTAATAGATAAACGATCAAGTTGAACAATATGGGTACCTGAAGGTTCAACGAAATCTTCATTCAACTCAAATAATGGAATATCTTGTGTATTAAATCGTTTCGGTTTCGTTGTTGTTGAATGAGTTGTGTTGTGCTGAATTGTATCTTGGTTGTTAGAAAAGTTTGGAGGTAATTCGGTAAAGTTTTGAGCAACTCGACCATTAGGGGGTACGAAGAAACTATTTTCTGAAAAATGAAAATTTGGATGATAATATAGCAAAATATATAAATAAAATATATTAATTTAATACACATAAAAAAATAAAAAAATACAATACAAAAGAGACATAACATATAAGAAAATGTACCTTTCTGAGAATTTCTTTGTATTGTCTGAGATGATGGTGTTTTGAAAGCATTCGATAAAGAGGGTGAATGAACTAAAGTGGAAAAGTATATATAAAACATAAAATTAAATAAGATAATAAAGGAAAAATGTAGTTACCGAAATTAGATATTATAGACCTATATGTATTAAAAAAGATCGTTATACAAATTAGATATTATAGACATATATGTATTAAAAATTAAATGTTAAAAGTTTATATATTGAGAAGTTAAAATTGACGTTATATGATTTAAGAAGTGTATGTAAATATAATATAAAAGAAATTAAGAATACTTTACCTTGATTTGTTAGGTGTGAAAGTGGCGTTCTTGGGGAAATAAATGTGGATTGAACATTCGGTCGTATGATGTTATGAGACGGGGTAGCCTTAGATAATTCGGAAAGGTTTAGAGCAACTCGACAATTAGGTGGTATGAAAAAATTATTTTCTGAAATGAAGATTCGTATCATAAACGGAGGAGAAATATTAAAAAAATATTAATAGTACAATAGATAAACAAATATAAAAACAAAAGTGTAATATAAAAGATGCATAACATATAAGAAAATGTACCTTTGTGGGATATTGTTTGTAATGTTGAATGTGATGATGGTTTTAGAGCATTGGATGAAGATGATGCATTCACTAAAGAAAGAGTGGTATGTATATCAAAAACTCAAATGAAATATAAAGAGAAATGAGTTATACAAATTGAACATTATAAACACTCAAGCACTTCAAATATAAACAGAATGCTTAAATATGAATCTTACCATTTGTGATGTCAAACAGTGGTGTTGTTGGGGAAGTGTTGTTGGGTGACACATTAGTAACAAACCTTGTAGGTTTTTTCTTTCCCGAAGCATTTGAAATGTTAGTCATTTCAATATGTTTGATAATTTTTACATTCTTAGACATATATATATATATATATATATATATATATACTACTTATAAAAGAAATCTAACTATTTCTATAAATAGATTGAATATAATAATATTATTTTTTTAAGACGTCCAAACTATTAAGCTTGAAGTACAACCCATTTATAATATAATAATATTAAAACTTTAACCATATTCTTTATCCCTTAAAAATCTCGTATCAAATTAATAGAAGAATTCATTTGCAAATTGAACCCGTCAATCTCAACACTTCAACCATTTGAAGCAGTCAATGTCAACAATTTATAGAAGATCTCTTCTCTCACATTGGTAACAAACAATCTCATAATATCTATCTTCGTAATCCCTTCAAAGTAAGAAATATACGCACACTCTCTCGAAGAACCCTAACCAGTAACCAAGACAGTATAACCACCACCACCACAGCCGCTCTGCCTCCTTTCGCCTTCAATCAACCACTATCACGACTACCGCCCTTCCTCTCACCCACGACATGAACTTTCTTTTGGAACATAACATTTTTCTTTAAAAAAATATCGTTGAAAGAAGCTATTTGTCCCCGCCGCTGTGCGCGGGTAACGGCTAGTATATATATATATATATATATATATATATATATATATATATATATATATATATATATATATATATATATATATAGTGATGATGATGATTTCTAACACTTTAAATAAGGGAACTGGATATTTCAAAAGATTTAAATTTGGTAAAAAATAAATATTGCATATAGTTAAATAAAGTAATGAAATATTAGTTGGGTTTAACTTAGGTAAAAAATAAAGTCTTCATATAATTATGGAGGGAATAAATGCATTATAGAAAAATTGATTTTGTTTACATATTCCATGATTTTATTCTGTTACCATATGAAAACGATGAATATTTATTCAAATAAAGTTTAAATTTGACTTTAACAAATAAAAGTAGGTGAAATATCATATATATATATATATATATATATATATATATATATATATATATATATATATATATATATATATATATATATATATATAAAATAGGTAACTGAATATCACAAGGCTTTAAATTTGGTAAAAAATAAAGCATGAATATAATTATGGTAGGAATAAATAAAATATAGATGACATGTATTTTGAATACTTAGACTATGATTTTATTCTGTTACCATATGTAAACGATGTATATTTATGCAAATAAAATTTAAATTCCATTTAGAATATAAAGTAAGTGCATTAGCATATATAAAGAAATTCTTAATTTTCGTGTGTGTATATATATATATATATATATATATATATATATATATATATATATAATCAAATGATGAATGAAAGAAAAAAGAAAGAAAATACGCATTAAATCAAAAGAGTTCCATAACTTGAAATTTGTCATGACCTCCAATTGTATCATTGTGTACACACCAAATAAAAACTCAATACAATTTTAAAAACAACCAAAAGATCAATAAACTGAGAATTAAAAATGCGACACACAAAAGATTAAAAAGAAAATGTCTATAAACATATCGAAGATGATATGTAAAATTTTGATGGGTGGCTTGATATTAGTCCAACTTTTCCAACTTTGGGATCTTCAAGGTATCCCGTACAACATAAGTTTTTGAAGAAGACCACTCCAAAGACTCATTGTTGGCATCAATCTCAATAGGGCGCTTCCCCATACTCGATGATGGTGTTACAGCTTCAAGGTCAACAACATCAAGATTGTGATCATGCACAGAATTGGTATTTTCCTGTAGATAACAGAAAATAATAAATATCGATAAAGAAAAATATAAAACAAAACATACCATATTTGCATAAAGTTATGAAAAATGAAAGAAAAATATATTGAAGAGAGGGCACAGGGTTTGACTTTGGAAATATATGAGACAGTTACCAACCTTATTTGGCTTGTTAACAGGAGTACCATTATCATTTATATGATCATGTTGATGATTTGATGACCTTTTTGTCACCTCATCAAGAACCCTTTCATCATCGGTTAACTTATGCACAGTGTAAGCACGATAGTTGTTCTGCAGATTGAACATGGAAATCTGAACTTTGAAGACAAACTTCTTATTTAGAAGAATTTTGAACTCATCAGGTATCTGTTGTCGGCCTTGATCCTAATTTACATTATAAAATGTTTGGAAAAGTTAAAGAATAAAAATCATATATGTCAATCATTTAAATAACGGAGATATTTTATGAAACCTTAGCTATTTTGTCCATCAACCATTGGTTTCCACGATGAATAAGATCTTTTACATGACGCTCAAACAATACAAACGAAGAAGAGCCACTTTCATCTTGCACACAAACTACTATCCTAATCCTAAAAATTATAACATAGTACTTATATTTAGCTTGACATACACAATGAAATATATGAAAATTGTAAAATACATGCATAGTCTTCGAGATAATAATTACTTACTTTCCAAATACATCCGAGACAAATCCACAACCATCACAGTGAAAAGGGCCAGCATCAACATCATCATGATTTTTAGTAACTTTTTTAGAACAATCACGGCAATAAAATGAATACCAACCATCATCCATATCAAAACCAATAATAGTAGCGATAATGGTTAAACCAACTTCCTGTTTCATATATAGGAGAAAAAAGGAATCATATTAAAATATTATTTCATATAAATTGTAGATATAAAATCAAAACAATAATAGAATGCGGAAACTGTTATATAAAAATGTTAAGTAAACCTCATTAAAATCAGGAATTTCATCAATGTTTTTTATCTGAAAACGGAGGTAGTAATCCTCTGGATTAGCCACAACGGTATCTGAGTTGAGCTGGGATGTACGGCTAGAAGACTCAACATTTGTATCCAAAGCATTAATTCTACATAAACAAATAGTGAAGTTATTCAACAAAAGTAATGATTTAGTAAGATAAATGTGTTAAAAATGTTAAATAACATACTTTGATTTGAACTCCAAAATCTGAGGCATATCATCATTTATATGCAATCTAGACCCAAACAAACAATTACCAACTTGAGGCTGACCTGCAAGAAAAAAGAAAATTAATATTGTCAGTAATTACTTTGAAGTTGAAATGATAATTTGTTGTAAAAAACACTTACCACCCCAAATTTTGAGTTTGGCCAAATGTAGCAGGATAATAACAGGAGCAGTGTCATTATTATGTTGTGAAATGTAAGTATTCAACTTCATTGCAAAACTGCCCCACAAAGCGACTGCAATTCTCGTACCACTAAATATGCATGGTGGTTATTAATGAAAGATAAATATAAACGGGGGAATGTGTAATAATAATACGAATGTGTACCTTAAATCCTGAGCAACCAGATTCATTAACCTTTTCTCTCTTCCATACTCAACAATGACTCGCATGGGATCACTTGACACAACTTCACCTAGAAAATCTATGTGAAAAAATTTAATAAATTAGTAATAATAACCCAAATGTGTATTACATTAAAAATTGAAGTATAGAAATAAGTTAAACTAACAACATAACATACCAAATGCAACACGAGTGTCAAAGTTCCTGGCTAGCAAATCTGGGAAAGAGATAAAATGATAAGGATCTACTGTATCAACAAAATCATTGGATACACGAACTTTCGTGGTTTTGTAGAAATTGATTTTATGTTTATGAGGTACAAGCATGTATTCGCTTTGATTGCTAGCCATAGCGAAGTTACTGATCTCCCGGACAGCTCCTTCATCGAATAGGGATTCAAATACTGGAATAAGATTTTTTTTTATTGTAGCTTGAATTCTACTTCCCTGTAGGTGACAATGAAAGATAAAAAAGTGCAAAAAATGTATTAAAAAACGGAACAATAACAGATTTCATTACATAGACTAAACTTTATTATTAAAAATAATAAAGTTGTTTATTAAAATTGTATGAATAGAAGTAAAAAAGTATAACATCTCTCGAATTTCAACTTTTTTTGAATAGAGATAACATAAGAAATTGATAATTTTAAAAAACAAATGGTGTAAAAACAGTACCTCCTGGTCGATTAAAATCATGTCCAGGCTTGTGACCATATTAGGATTGTTTACATAGGTCGGCTTCCAAAGCATGACGACTTTAACACGTATGTTCCAAGACTCTTTAGATGCGTTGATTTCAGCAACCTTATCAAAGACGACCTGATCTGCATTGTTAGATGCCATGGAATACTATTATCTGCAATGGAAGGGGATAATTGTTTAGAGAGAATTTTGATTTGTAATGAAAAATCGTAGACAGTATATTTATAGGGAAAAAAATTGGTTAATGCTGATATCACATAAACATTTTAGAATGTAATATCACTTCCATACTTAAGATATGTTTTAATTATGGTATGATATCCAAAATGATATCAGTATATCATGTCAAATATAAATATAAAAATAATAAATTCATACCATATTTAAGATAATATTTACCATATAAAAAACTGTAAATTTGAAAAGTTTGAAGAATAAGGAAATTATATAATAAATATACAATATTTTCATAAATATGGTATGATATCGAAAATAAACTCAATATAAGATGTTTAATATATTTAGAAAATATAGGAAAATATATATTTGGTTAATGCTGATATGAAATAAAGATTATGGAATGTAATATCATGTCCATACTTAAAAGATGTTTTATATACGGTATGATATCCTAAATAATATCAGTATACCATCTCAAATATAAGTAGACAAATAGATAAAATCATAGTATCATTTAAAATAGAATAATTACTATATAAAAAACTGTAAATTTGAAAAGTTTGTAGAATAAGGAAAAAATATAATAAATATATACCATATTTAAGATAATATTTTTACCATATAAAAAACTATAAATTTGAAAAGGTTGTAGTATAAGGAAATTATATAACAAAATCATACTATCATGTACTATATAATAATTACCATACGAACATCTCTTTGAAAACATTTTAGAAAGAGGCATAGTTAATTAATTACATCATACAAGTTGAGGTTGTAGCCTCCTGCCCTTCTTTATGGTAAGAATCTGTCATCACCTTATAAACATCTCTTTGAATTGCTTTCGACAAATAATTCAGAAAGAAAAACATATTTTATTTAAAGGAACACTCATACTATTATTGATCGGTGTTGCGACAACGAATAGTACTATCATGGTGACATTGAGACTTTGGTTAGGAAAGACCCTTCTTTCCAAAAAAAACAACAACACGATAAGATATATGTTTATTTATATAAAATTAATTCACTTGTTTGAGATTGGATGAAACGGGTTAAGTAAACTTAAAACCAAAACTACTATTATTTTGTTTAGCGTTCAAATGTATCATTTGGTAGGTTAAGTACTATTAAAAATTAGTTACATATAACAAACAAAATTTTAAAAAAAATGTAAGGTGACAAAACAACGTATGCGTATATTTCTTGGATAATTACATTTTGTGTGAAGTTAAAAAGGTATTCAAATTATTAGCATTACCTCCAATTTAGCTTTAAAAAGGTCAAGTGCAGGTCCAGTCCTACTAAGATGTGGGATCATGTCCACACCAAACATACCCTCTAATTGTCATGCCTTATGCAGCTGCACCTTTTCTGACAGCATCCACAGCCACAGCAAGTGAAATGTACAAGAAAGTGAAATGTAGATTGGGTTGGTAAACCTGAAGGTAACAGTGGTCACTGTAGGGTTTTGCATTTTCTTGAGACTCAAGAGGGCAATACTGCCTTTCGGTCTGTTTAAGATGCAAATGAAAGCACATTACATAAGTGCAGGATGCAGTAAACCCACCATGAAAGTGCAATGGTTGTGAGAGCACAAATGCTTACAGGAATAATAACAGACTGAGAGTAGCCATGAAGACGACAATCAAATACCTGTCACATAAATAAGCAGAAATGAGCATACCATTGACCCAATCTAACCAACAGTAACCAAAAAGCACCCAGAAGTACCAAACATCGCCGACAAAAGAGTTATCAAGAGAATCTAAGGAAGCACTAAGGCTTTTGTCCAAAGATATGTTCCTATGATGCTCATGGTCTGTATAAGTACACACATCTCGGTTTACTTTCTCTTCTTCTTCTTTTGTCTTCGGCATGATATATGCCTCCTACATCACAGAAGAAGCACGGAAAGAGAATATTATTAGAACCAAGTATATGGAAGAGTAGTAGATTTCTGAAGTATTGGAATTTGATAAAGGTGGGATTGGAAAGAACCCTAAAAAATCTATGTCAAAATTACAAAAAATGTCAATGAAAGAGTTCGAATCAATTAAATTCCGAGAAATTCGCAGACCAATTGAAGATAACTTACCTTAATGAAGTCGCAGATGCTTGAACGGATTGAACACTATTCTTCGAAATCCCTGAATTGGGTATCTGCAAGTTCCAGTTCTTCCACATTGGAGGACGAAACAGAGTGATCGGTCTACAAGATTTAGACAAAGAAGTAGAAGCGAATGGATTGACTGTTTCTTAAGATAGGAAGAAGAGACAGAGTAAACGACGAACGAAAGGGAACATTACACAACGGGGTATTGGGTGGAAGGAAGATGACGTGAGCAAATGATCCAAAGGTCTAGAATATAAGATTGAAATGCATTGAATGGCCCTGATAAGATATATGTTTATTTATATAAAATTAATTCACTTGTTTGAGATTGGAAGAAGCGCTTGAAGTTCCTGTAATCAATGAAAGATATTTGCAGATCGATACATTAATAAACCTGTGTAAGTGATAAAGAGAGGCCTGAGAAAAGGAGATCGCTTACACGGCGGAGGAGGTGTCCGGCGAATTCAAGAGAAAATAATTGAGAAGTGGAGAATCTGATGGAGAAATAAGAGAAGAAGGTGAGGAAATGGAGGAGATAATAGGGCTCCGACACCATGGCGAACAGTATGTTCATTGTTATATCGTAATACTGAGTGCGATCAACATCGGATTCACCGTTATTGGTGTTCTTCCCTTTCTTCCCCATGATTCCTAGGGTTTTCAGATAGCCGGAAGTGGGGGTTTCTGCTAAATCAGCCGCTGTAAATCTCTGATTTGATTTGGAAGGTTAATAAGCAGCATCTTTTACCTTTATTTAGCCATGGCTGAGAGATATTTATAACATAATCACAGATTCGATTAACGCAATCAAGCCTTCAAGAATCAACTATGTTGATGCCTGCACCGATATTTTTGTTGAGAAAATCGATTCCATGTATTAGGAATGAATCGTTAGTAAGTATTTTTATTTGTAGGCTTGTGAATTTATTTTTGGGTGAGGATGATGTCAGCAAAATGATCCTAAGGTGGAGATTAAAGGAGGAAAATGCAATCAAGGGTTGATGTTTCTTCATTGAAGAATTTAAGGTTTTGTTTTAGTAATATTTAGAGATTGTAACATGTCTTATTTGTATTAGATGGTTAAAAAGATATATAAAAATAAAAATATAAGGATATTTAAATTTTCGAAAGAAAAATATACATTTCAAATTTTAATAAAAAATATTGAATTTTATTTATTTTATTATATAATATAAAGAATTACCGGCACCAAAACTCTATAAACTTTTGTGTTTAAGTCATGGTTGTTAAAATCGTGATTTTGATCGAATGACCATACAATCTTACAATCCTACCTACGTAAATCGATCCCGGTCTTACTTAGATTGTTTTTCGGTAGAATCGTAAGATTAGATTGGAAGATCATAGGATCGTTAATATATATATATATATATATATATATATATATATATATATATATATATATATATATATATATATATATATATATATAAATCAAATATTTTTTCGGACTAACAACGTAAAATACTCATTTTAAATTGTTTATCGTAAAATAATGTATTCAAAATGTATTTTTTATATTTTAAAAAATTTGTTGTTAACTGGATGGTTAATTGGTGGATTAATATGTATTTTTTATATTTTAAAATGTTTTGGTGCGATCTTATGATCTGATTCAATTTTACGATTACGATCTTGCAAAACAGAAAATGATCATAATAAGATCCCGATCTTAACAACTTTGGTTTAAATGATTTTTGTTCCCTTTTAAACCGTTAAATTAAAAAAGTGATATATCATCTTCTCTTCTAATCTAATAAATAAAGATCTTTTTGTCGCTTGTCATATTCTCTTTATTTTGACACATCATTTTCTTATAATTTTGATTTACTTATTTTTTAAAATATTTTTTAAGATTTTTTTTAATTGACACCTAAGAGTATCAATATAAAGTTTATTAAGACTTTCTAAAAGAAACATTTTTTCCATAATTTATTTCAAAAAATTATGTCTCTATACAGACCCTGTAACGTCTCAAAAATTAAGGCAAAAAATTTCAATTTTTAGAACCATAAAACCATAATAATATCAATATATAACCAAATCATTTGAATACATCATAGTCAAAGAAAATGCAGAACAATGTGGTGTGTACGATGCGATCACCCCGAACTCTTTTTTTTGGATCCGAAAGTACCTGAAACATAAACTAAAAATCGTAAGCACAAAGCTTAGTGAGTTTTCCAAAACACCACATACCATACATATCAAACATATAACGGGCTCCGCCCAACATCGATCCCCGCTCGAAATAGATATGTCAGAAATATGAGATGGGCCCCGCCTCATCACATTCATCAAGCCTCACCCGGTATACATATAAACACATAAACACATACAAGAATCACATAGATAAATAACATACAATATACTCATCAGTCCTCGCCCGATATACATATCATATATCATACATGCAAGAGTTACGAAGACAACTAGCATCCTAATCATAGTAAACCATGGATCGACATTGGTGTCTTCGACCCGCCAAGCACAATGAGGAAACTCACCTCAAGCTGTTGAATATCTCAGATAAAAGCTCGGATTGTTGATCCGGAAAATCCCCTTACTAAACCCAATTAATAATTGGTTCACCAGCCATACTCGAATCCTAGTCCGATGTCTAACACTTGTATGATAAACTGAGAGATTTATGTTGGTATTCATAATTGTTTAAAAAATAAAAAATCTAACTATTTATAGCCGTTAGAGAGGTGATGGATGCATTAAATGGTTGAAGCAAGGTCGACGGAGGAAACCCGCATGCCTACGGTCCCACACAAGGTGGGCGGTGTTTTCCCGTTGTTCCCTTTGTTGGTTTGATCTTCTTTTCTATTCTTAATTATTTTCTATAAAAATATATATATAAAAATATCAACGTTGAATTAAGCAGACATTTTCCATAATGTTTTCTTTTTCATTATTATAAATTATTTAACAACTTTTTAAAAGGCAAACAACATTAAAATTAATTGAATCATTTAGAAGTTCATTCAAAAATTAAAATGTTGAATTACTATATACAAGAACTACAAAGAGCCATGACAAGGGGATTACAACAAAATTCTAGGCAACTTTAAATATGGCATGTTAAGTTATTGAACTACATTAAAAACAACATTACAAAGATGAAATATAAGATGTGAAAATGTATGCTCGAGCGTGTTATGTCACCTTCGTTATACTTTTTCTTCTGTTACATAAGGGTCATATTCATCTCATTATCATCTCAATTTTACAATGATTCATGGTTTTGTGCCACACAAAAGGAGTGGTCACCAAATAAAAACTTAAAACTTTCGGCTTCATCATTGTTTAAAATATTGTACGTTTACTGTAATACCAACCCCGATAACAACTTCAATTATAATTTGAAATTCTTCAGAGGACGAAGATGAATATATTTTCAAATGAGAAGAGAGACTCGGTAAAATAATAAGGGTTGTGAGTATTTATAGAACATAAACTTTGAAAAAAAATAATTAAAAATTAAATGAAAGTAGCCATTTGGAAGAAAAGAAGTGTAATAAATAAGAAGAGACACTCGCCAAAGAATATCAGAGTTTGGCTCTACTATGATGGGAATCGTAGACCAGGACGTTGTGTGGGCCACGGTTTAGGTGGCGAACTGATGTGCCACCCACACCCACACCCCCATAGCCTAATTAAGAATCAAAATATTATAAACTATTTTTATGAAGTTGGTTATCCCCTAAAAGCAAGGTTTTGAAAACCGGACCGGAGACCGAATCGGTCGTCTTACTGATTCGATGGTTCAAGTGGTCCAACCGATCGGACCGGTCTCAAAAACCGAAAAAACCGGATGATGTCATAATTATATTTAATTATATAAAAATACAAAAAATGAAAAAATATATATTTTTTAAAATTTCCGGTTTTGACCGGTTCAACCGCACCGGTTTTTACTGGTTCGACCGGTTTTTACCGGTTTTCACCGGTTCAAACAGATACCGGTTTTTTGATCTTTATGAATCGGATCCGGGACCGGTTCCCGGTTGAACCGGTCGAACCGGCCGGTCCGGTCCGGTTTTCAAAACATGGTCTAAAAGGGACGGAGAGCACATTGAAAAGTTTAATGCTAAAGAAGACGAGCAATATATATTCCTAGAAAATAATTAATAGTGTTTAGAAAATTAGAAAATTGTCATGGAGTCGTCACAATTCGAAGGGTAAACTATGTGAAAAAATATTCAAAACAGCAATTAGGCTCAGGCCTATATATTCAAAATATTTGCCAAAACAATCAATTAATTTAATGTTATCATAACCCTAAATTTGTAATATATTCCAAACAATCCCTATGTCAAGAAAAAAAAAAATCTCTATACTGATAAACCTTGACCCTTACAAATAGGGCACACATTTTGCCGAACCAACCATTGTGTGATGCATCTTGGGTGATATCGATGTTTGCATGGAAGCACCGCTACTCTCTCATTGCTTTCGAATTCAACTTGGCATACCACACAAAGCTCACCTTCTTCCTCTTCTTCTTCTTCACAATACTTGGTTACTTGTAGGTTCTCGGAGATGAGTTTCTTGGTCAATCCACTGCATGACACGTTATTTGCTGCTTGTTCAAAGCTCTCGTCGATGGCTACTTGTATAAAAGAAACTTCATCAACGTCGTAGATATGTCTTTCAGACGTGGTTTGGAAGGTAGCGGTGGAGGAAGATGATTGTGGTTGACGAATATAATACTCATTGATGTCGTCATAGTTAACAATAACAGCCCCGTTTTCATATAGTAACCATTCATACGGGTAGTGAATAGGATGATAATTTTGCAAGCCTCGAAGGACAGTATCATGATCGGGTACAGAATGGTCTTCAAGTCCTACAAAATCAATATGGTAGAAAATATAGGCACGTATAGGGGTGTCATCGAGGTACAATAAGATTGGGGTAAGCATATCAAGATCGACATCCATGGAAACAAAAGAAGTTGCAGAAGGAGAAGAAGAAGAAGAAGAAAAAGAAGATGGTCGTCAATGGTGAAGTTCCAGAACAAGACGGTGGGTGTTGATGGGCACAGAAGGGATGTGATGAGCGAGGAGTGTTAAATAGGAATATTAGATGGCGTGATTTTATATAAGGAAGTTTTTAGATTGCGCGTCATCAACAAATCCCATGAATAAATGTCTCCAACTAAATGACGGTATCGGCCATTAATTATCGTCCGATCCAAATCCAAGTACACTTTCCATATTCTTAATTTACCCAGTTAATAAAGATCTCGTGATATATATATATATATATATATATATATATATATATATATATATATATATATATATATATATATATATATATATATATATATATATATATATATATATATATATATATATATACCACCTATATTTTGTGAGACCGTAAGACGCATTTTTTTAATTTTTTTTTAATTTTTTTATATTTTTTTTAGTTAATTCATGTTCCGAAAATAATATTTAAAAAAAGAATTTTTTGATATTTCCATTTATTTTGCATTTTAAAATTATTTTTAGAATATGTACAGTGTAATATTCTATTTAGAATATTTCACGTATTTTTCAAAAAAAATAGAAATTTTTTTTATTTTTTTTAGTTAATTCAAGTTCTGAAAAT